ACCCTATATCTAGTAAATACTAGAGCATTCGCCAAGGTACAGGATAGTTCTAGAAAATAGGTGGCGCCACACCAGTCACGTGACTCACTGATGCAACAATATTATTTTACAGTTTTCAAACAACCTATTAAATTAGGTAACAGCACACACTCCCATTTGATGTAAAATATTCCATTATTTACAAACGGTGAGAAATAAAAACATCAGGATTCAATACAAGATTAATAGAGCAATTTAGATTCTTAGGATGAATCATGAACAGACAACTTGACCTGTAACTATCTGACTTTCCATTAAACTTTTCTATATCTGTACCTAAAATTGTAATCAAAGCTGTGATCTGAAAAAAAAGTAAAATAATGATAAATTTATTTCTGATTATTTAGTTTTTATATTAATATTATCAAACTTTACAAATCCTCCTACTTTCTAGAGAAGAGTATTAAAATAATAGCTTAACATTTCATTGCACTAAAGATTAACTTATACACATCATTTCCCAAGATTTGCTTCATTACAAAATGCCCCCTAGTGGCACAGTGGTATGTCTGTGGAGTTACAATGCTAGAAACCAGGTTTCGATACCCGTGGTGGCCAGAGCACAGATATTCCATTGTGTAGCTTTGTACTTAACTTCAACGAAACAAACAAATATTACAATTTAATATTTTTTTTCTTATTTTTCTCAAAGCAACCATGTTCTTAGTTAAGCACAAAATAATTTGAATGTTTCAACAGGTAGTCCTGTAGATCTTTTTTAAATAGCTTTTCTGTCCATGATAGCGTGTATATCAATAATTCATATTAGGTAACTGTATTATGCATTAGTTATGTATGCAAAAATGTCACTATTCTTAATTGGGAGTGCATTACATTAAGGAAAACTCACTACAGTTTTTGAAGATGTACACATTTATTTAATAATCCAGAAAATTACTTCCAACCATTAATATTGAGGATAAAGCTCAAAACTGACTCATGTTTGAGTTCTCCTCCGAAGAAAATAAAAACTACTATATTCTCTCATATTTTGCAGTACATTAGATTGCTTCTTTTACTTTGTACAAAAAAAAGTTAATTTTTAACAGTTACTACTGTTAAAAAAATATATAGAGAAAACGTAGTAGGCTTGTAGAATGGTAAAATAGTAGGAGTGTGAAATT